TATCCAGAGAGATATTATAAGAAACTAAGTATTAGGATTGTTAAGTTATCAGGCATTTTATGTTTCTCAATCAGGGTCACCCAGTACTGTTCGACTTTACAGTTTCAATAGCATGAACTAACCAGGACAAGTGCTTGTCCAACTGGCTCTGTTTGTTCTTAAGGCGTACAACCCTATCCACTGGATAAATATTTTTATGGAGGATAGCTTTAAGCGTTTTGTTACCAGTAAACCTCTACACCCTAACATCAGTAACCATGTTCTCTATAATCTTCTCTGTACCTTTTCTTTGATACTACTGGTAACTGGAAGAAATTAACTGATTAACAATCAAAGCCCCTAAGGTTGACAATCATTTCCTTCATTTTCATGATCAGGGCTTGACACTAACTTTTCAATTTACTGGCCAAGTGGCTGGTGACAACTTAGATGTTACAACAATTTCAGTATGTTTACTTGTCAAACTGGTTGGTGGAAGTCGGCAAAAACCATTTGCCAAAACTGAATTTCTACCAGTCTGTAGCTAGTGGGTAACCATTTGTGTCAAGCCCCGGCAATCTTAATGAACAACACTGTAAAACATTGCCAGAAATTTGGGACAGTATGGCAGAGGCGGTTCTTGTGTTACAAGCAAAATGGCGCTGAAACAGTATAAGAAAATGTATGGGAAAAGATTGTTCTTTTCAAAATAGCTGTCTAAGAATGGGATATTCTTCCCCTGCGTACTTGGAAATGCAGCCTGCATCAGATCAAGCATCCATCGCAATAAGAAAGAAATACTCAAATTCAAGCCTACCTTTTCCCAAGGTATACGAGTAAACTCAAAATTCTGACTCTATTTTCCCATACAAACTCTTAAAATCTGCTTCAACTAGGTGTTACAATTCTTTTGTCATGGGAACAACCTTGTGAAGATTTGCAACTGTGTAGTTTGATATGCATTCTGCAGAAGTTTGCTGAACTAGATCGCTCATAAACGGTCAAATATGATGGCCCACAAATTTTCCTCGAGCCGAGAAACTCTTCGTATTTTCACAGAGCTCAAAAGCCAAATATAACACTTTTTATACCCTAATTTTAGGAAAAAAGAACACGAAAGATACAAGTCCCAGTAAGTGCACAATTTGGCCACCATTTTCCTTGTTTTGACGTCTCCTTTGGCCTTCTGGGATAGAAAGGTAACAGGCCTTTCTCTTGTGGGGTTTTACAAAAATAGAAAGTTACGTCTTCACTTCACTTCCACTGCTGCCACACTGAATTGTCTGTAATACTATATACCGCTGACATTTTGTAACAGGCTCGAAATGTCCCGATTTCTGGTAATGAAGAAATTAGAAGATGGTCACTCTAAGGGTTTAGACACCTCTATCCACTGGATAA